TGAAAACCATTGTAGGCACTGTCAATTTGAGTCTGGTATCTTTAGCTTCAGTACTACAAGGGACCCTAATTAGGCATGAGAATAGGGACTTCCAAAATACAGTTGGTTTTGTGCCAAATTCCAAGGGGCACCTACTCTTATGTCCTACTACTAACCCCAATCCCCCCAGAATCTACAACATAGCTGCTTCTAACACCCTCTTCTCCCCACTCACCAACCCCGAATACCATTGTAGGTACTATAACTCTGGGTTATCATGGCAATGTCAGTCAGTCATTTGCGAATCAGTCTGTTTTCTACTTCTTCAAACACCTGATGTCAGGCTGTTTTCGGACCAAGCGATTGTTGATGCTGGGATTCCTGGCCAAGTCTCTTATCTATAGAAGGGGAGTATTGCACTTTCACAGGGACTCAACGACAGGAAGTATTTAAAAACGGTAGACAAGTTCGCGGTGTCGGCTTTGATGCTTTTGTAAACATTTACTCTGTTAACTTCTGAAGGATAGTCTCATTATACATACGCTTGCAGACCGACGGGTGGCGGCTTATACGATACACATAGTAAACGACGATGTCTTTAAACGGCCACTAATACTGCGACAGGCAGTCATCAGAGTCTGCAGTATTAATAATTTCGCCTTTCATGGCAATCGAACTGCCGATTCGTGTAATGTGCGAAAAATCTCCCCATCTGAGTAGGATACTCGTGTTTGATGACTCCATGAAATCATGTTTGAGAGATGATGCTGACAATTTAGTCAACTACCTGTTATGACCCGGCCTCGTTTTCAGAAATCACACGAACCGTATGCCTGCTTGATCATTGTCGTAAGCACTTTCACAGCACAAAAACAGAACACGATCAGTTAACCTACAGGTCTTTTCCATTGAAAAACTGCATGTATTTATAGCATCCGGCTCAGTTTGGCTAATATTCTGTCCATTCCGCTCCAGTAAGGAAGTTCTAGAAGAGATGAGCATCTTTTCGCAAGCATGGACTGGTCAGATCTTACGGGAGCATTGTGACCACAGTCAATGCTTGATGCTGTTGACCGTGTGTTAACTGTATGCAGCGTGGGGCGTGAGATCGAATCTTCTTGGAAATATGCACATTCCCAACACTAGCCCGCTACGAATTCCTACTTTAGCAGGCATGCGGGTAGGGCCGAATTTTCTGCGCCTCCATTTCCCTCTTAGTCGCTGTATTACCTCCTGAGGTTATTATATTTTTATTAACCGTTGGGTGTGTTTGTGTGGGACAACCATGAACAGTTTTTTTGTTTCAGCTGGCAGAGTCTTCGTATTTCTACATTATTCCATTTTTATGTCATTCTCGGCCAGATCCTCTTGCATGGCCTGGTCTGCGACTCCTCCGGGCAGAAAATGTCAAAAAGTCGGGGAAACACTGTTGACCCACTGCAACTCATCGAGGGTGTGGGGAAGCTAAAACAGGTGCGTTTCAGCTATGCCTTATTAACTTCTAACCATCACGTGCGTTTAATCGTGATCCTTTAAGATCTTTGAAAAGTCATCTCAGGTTCAGATCAGTTCAGATTGTGTATATCTTAACTCCCTATTTGTCTACATGCAAAGTGATGTGTCAAAATTGAAAAACCTTCCAATAAAGAAATACAAGGGTATGTTATCCCTGTACAGAAAGACCACCGGTCTCTGGCGTTATCGGCATAACCAGATATATAAACTTTTTCCTGTGGACTAAAAAAAATGATTTACATACAAGAATGCTACAGAGAAACGAGTAGTTTCATACCAATAATACGTTTCCAGTACAACGGAACATGCCGGTCTCAGGAATAAATGAGAAGAAGAGAATTCAATCACTGGAACAACACTTTTTTCGCCTGCCGTTTCGACCTCCGCCTTGGATTCTTCATCAGAGACATGAGCAGAAAATAGTAGCAGAAACGGGTGATACATGCACAGGAAGGTGCAGTATTTATTAGACACAGTCATTACTACATACTTAGGACAAATAACGCCAATGATACTGATACTGATAATTAACGATAACTGCCCTCTTGTGCGTGAATCGCTTGATGGTCACCGTGCGGACCGTGACCTGTTGAACTTACATCACGCGTGGGGGAATTGGAAGTGATGATTGCTCAGCCATCTGTTTCCCCGGTGTTAGTATAAGACGAAGCGGTGGCCTATGCGTTCCCGAAGTGGCGACTTGTTTTGGCCAAATTGAACCTCGACAAATAGTATGGATTGGGCAGGTCGTTGCACTTGTTTATGGACCAGGGGGTCCGTGAACCATGACTCAAGTAATTCTCCGCTAATACGATTATCACATCTTGCAAGAATTTCGGCTTCATTACATTTGAATGTGTGGCCGAGTCTCGTCAAATGAGCCGCATTTTGAAAATTGGCATCATTTCGCCACATTGCTGCCACGTGTTCGGCAGTTCGCGTCTTGATAAGTCTGCCAGTTTATCCGACCTAGTTGCTTTGTCCGCAACTGCACCAGATCCTATAGACGACTCCAAATGTTTCTTGCCATGGCAGTGGATCTTTCGTTTTCATTATCTGGCGCCTTATGCTTGTCTCCGGCCTGTGTGTGAGTCAAACTCCAAGTGATGCAAGAAGGTGGCTGACGGCTTCCGAGGCGTTCTTCACGTATGGGATCGCCCGCCAAAATTTGGGGTCGGTGCGATTTTGTTGCCCATCTAGTTTGCACTGGTTGACGAAGTTGTGTGGGTAGCCATTTTCTCTGAACACCAGTCGAAGGTATTCTGCCTCGGCAACTTTATCTTGTTCGCGCAGTGCGTCTCAACACGCCGATAGAGCGTCCTTACGCAACTGCGTTTGTGG